AGAGAGAGAGAGAGAGAGAGAGAGAGAGAGAGAGAGAGAGAGAGAGAGAGAGAGAGAGAGAGAGAGAGAGAGAGAGAGCTGACAAATTTGTTTTCCTGTGTTGCCTTAATTGGTGTGAACTGTCAGATGGCGAGTTTTTGAGCATTGTGACCCGATTCAGTTTGGCGGTCCGAGCAGTTGCTTTCAACTCAACGGGAAGCATCCTTGCTGCTGGTGGAGATGCTGAAAGCATCAAACTTCTAACGGTACCTGATTGCTCGACGGTTTGTAATTTGAAAGCGCACGAGGGTCAAGTGTGCAGCCTCGCTTTTGATCCCAGGGATGATTATCTGTTATCCTCGGACACAAATGGAACAATCATTGTTTGGGATGTGGCAGCCGCCAAGGCCGTTCATACTCTGCCACACGTGGCCCCTAGGACTGTCGCCACGTGGGCACTCAGGAACTGCGTTGGCTGGCATCCTGATGGCAGTCTGTTTGCGGTGCCAGGCTTGTCTTGCGAAGTGATCCTCTACAAGAGGCAGACAGCTGAGGTGCACTGCAGCCTCAAGGGGGCCCATATGGCGGATGTGGGGGTGATTGCATGGTCCCCTAATGGGAAATACTTAGCTTCTGCAGGGGAGGATCACCAGGTGCTAGTCTGGCATGTCGATGAGCGACAGGATTTAGGACGATTGAGAAATGGTGACATGACCGTTTCCGGTTTGTCGTGGAGTCCTGAAGGCAATGCTATCGCTTTGATCGATATGGATGGTAAATATCGCATCTGGGACCGGCCAGTTCCTGAGCATATGCCGTCACCTACAGAAGGTTCATTGCCACCACCAGTAAACTCGACAGTGGATCGGAAGAAGTTGATGAAGTTTGATGAGAGCAAGGAAATGAAGAAGGGAAAGGAGGATGATGAGGAAGAAGAAGAGGAGGAGGAGGAGGAAGATGAAGAAGAGGGGGAGGAGAGCAGAGAAAATGGAAGCGAGGAGGAGGAGGAGGAGGAGGAGGACGAGGATGAAGAAGATAGAATCAAAAGGAGGCAGAAGAAACATGATCGACAATTCTTTGGAAAGGATGAAGATGACAAGCTTGATAAGAATGATAGTGATGGAAGTGAAACACGTTTTTCAAAGAAATATAAGTTGCCCACTAAGAAGGTGGATTCAGAGATTGGAGGTGGTGAGAAGAAGGTAAAGAAGGCGGAAAGAAGTACAAAGGATGCAAAAGCCAAGGTTGGGGGACACTTCGCTTACCCTACACAACCACAGGGGCCTTTCCAACCCTGTTCGACTCACAAAGTTGATGGGAGGAAGCGTTTCTTGGCGTACAATCTGTTGGGGAGCATCACCGTTAGGGAGGAGGATGGGCATTCTTCTGTGGAGGTTAGTGCTGGCCTCTTCACTCAAAACTATCCATCTCTTCAGTTGCCAGTTCTCTTAAATTCTTCAAAGGTTCGCAGGTCTCAGGGTGCACCCACACTGGGACATTCCTTGATGCATTTTCTTATTTATTTGTTTGTATGTATGTGTGTGCATTTGCACGTGTGTGTGTGTGTGTGTGTGTGTGTGTGTGTGTGTGTGTGTGTGTGTGTGTGTGTGTGTGTGTGTGTGTGTGTGTAAATAACCACCACAGCAACCCCCTTTCCAAGTAGATTCAAATAAATCGTTATAAAACTTCTTTCCCTCTATGGAATACGTCAAATGATTGTGATGTCTTTGGCTATGTAACAGGACCATTTGTTTGCTGCGAATTCGAGAAGTTCAAGGCTTGCCATGATTGTGTAGTTGATTGCCCATTGCCCGCTAGCCCTTCTGCCTTACAGACACACTCGCAGACTATGTTTTGGTCTGTGCTCTTGGTCATGCTCATCCATTTGTCTATAGCAGATATGTAAGGGCGAGAGACAGAAGGACATGAAAGGATCAGGTGAGCTGTGTGGAAGCAATGCGTCTACTGACAGTGGCATGCATGTGTGTGTGTGTGTGTGTGTGTGTGTGTGTCTATGTTTTTTTTTTTTTTTTTTTTTTGGTGTGTGTGTGTGCGCATGTGTATTTCGTTCAGGTGGAGTTCCATGACACAAGCACACACACAGCACGTGTGCCAGTTATGACGGACTACTTTGGATTCACAATGGCAGCTCTCAGTGACAAAGGATGTGTGTTTGCCAATCCATGGAAGAGCGAGAAACATGCCAGCACTCTGTTTTACCGGCCATTTAACAGCTGGGCTCCACGAAGTGAGGTGAGCATTTGTGATCAGATGCGTTACAGATTTCTCCCAGATTCAGTGTTGTTTCAACAACAATCATAGGACCGATAATGGATTAGACTTTGGGCCTCACTTTGGGCCTCGCTCCACTACTCGCCTTATGTTAGAAAATGGTGATTGTATCGTTCCAGTCTTAACAGATGGATACATTCACGACTTTCTCATAGTTGGCGAGCAGTGGAGAGATGGCCTTTGCTTAGAACTGATTCCTTATCCAGCCTCAACTATAGTGCCTTCCATGCAAAAGTCTCTATGTGGCTGAGTCTGGATCAGCTCCCTAAAGAGTGCTTGTCTGACCCACCTCTCCAAAACTGGTCCTCATTGTGGACTGTAAGAGACCGCAGTGTAATCTGTGGTCTAGAATGGACGCTGAATGTGCGCCGTCTGCTCTGGATCTGGGGTGCTGGTCCAGATCGCTTGCATAACGCAGCACTGTTATCTGCCATATGGGTAAGGACCGGTGGCTCCCGGACAGAACAAATGGTCCTGTGTGCCAAGCGTCACCATAAACGGTCAGACAGGAAACAAATAGCTCCGCTCCTACTGCACACAAGAAATGCTGCATTTTTATTGCACCCCCCGACGGTCGGCTGCCGATCCGCTGACCGATCGGTTGGTTGGCACCTACCAGTCGGGGGTCGTTGGCACCCCGCAATTTTATTTTATTTCATTTTTTATTTTATTTTTTTATTTTTTTATTTTTAGGTCCAGAACACCCTCATAGCGGCCCCCAATACCCCCATACACTCCCCCAACATTCCCAAACCGCCCCCAACACCCTTATTACCCCTCCCAATACCCCCTATATCACATGTGTATAAGAGACAGGCCCCCAACACCCTAATTACCCCCCGGGCCACCCCAATACCCTCTATACCCCCCCTAACCCCCCCTGTACTCCAACCCCAACCCCCCCATACCCCTCGCCATCCCCAAAAGTTTCTCAGCGGATTTGGGCTGTACTCAGCAAGCGCAGTACAGCCCCCAAGATTTTAAAAAGAATCAGTGGATGGTTGTTTTCTGACTGGTCGGCAGACCGCCGACCGGTCGGCCCTACTGGTCGGCTGCAATACGGTCGGCGGTCGGGGTTGGGGTCGGCGGTCGGCCGGGATGCAACCCTGGCGGATAAGAATCTTCCTACCGTCTTTCCCCGAGCAGAACACACAATCAAAACGTTGCTACCATCTTCCCCCGAATGGAATGCACAGGCAAAAACGTTCTCCTAAATAAAGCAATAATGGCCGTGTGCCTAGGCTGTTTGTCCAGGCGCCTGGGCACCAAACTTGTGCCTGGATACACGCCCGGGTGCCCGGCCGGGCATGAACCCCGGGCAAGGTTCCAGGCAGCCCCAGTGCAAAAACATAAGAAAATAAAAATCACAAAATTCCAGAATTTTTTTTTTGTGCAGAATTGCAATACAAAAGACTTTTGGCTGTGGGACATATCAGAGTTTCTCACGGAATCGAGGATAAAAAAGAAAACAGCACAATCAGACTGAGGCACCCCCCTTTAAACCCATGTAGCCCCTACCCCCCTTCCCCCCCTTGACAGCCAACGCTCAAAATAAGCAAGGAACCCGGATTTGGACTTTTCTAGCCATGCTTAGAAAACCTCCACCCAGAAATAAATAAATACATAATAAAAAGGCCTGATTTCTGCCTGCACGGGGGTGCCCCGTGCAGGTGACCCCCAAGTGACTTCCACGGGTTGCTCAGCCGTGCTGCACGGCTGGGCGAGCCAAGTAGCCTAGCCGTGTGTTCTATTCAGGGGAAGACTGTAGGAAGATTCTTATTCGCAACTGGAGCATTTTTTGTTCACAGTATAATGGCCCTGTGTTCTATTAAGGGGAAGACGGTAGGGTCTACCTTGGGCATCCACCTGATGGAAACTGTGGACAAGGACTCTGTTGAAAAGCGAACCTACAAGCAGACACAAGAGGATAAAATGGTCTGCCTAATCAGATACAAACAAAAACTGAGAAGACAAGGACTCTGTTGAAAAGCGAACCCACAACATCAACATCATGCATGAAAGACGCAACACTGAAAGAATGACATGTGCATGATGATAGCAAGTAGACCCAAGAGTCCAGACAAAGGAGGGAGAAGAAGTAGGAGCACAAACTCATACATGTCTTTCTCGCCTTCCCCCTTTTACCTATGGGCACTTCCCTCCCTTTTCTCCACCTCGTAGCCATCGTCAACCTCTCTATCTATCAATGATGAAGCTGGTATCTCCCTTCCCAACAGCTTGCCAACATTCAAGGTCACTCTCCACTGCAATATCACTCTGGCGCAATGAATAACACCAGTCAATGTAATGCCGGCCGTCAGGAGCAAAATGCTCTCTCTTCCCTCGCAACAGCTCCATTGGGTAAGATCAGGTTAGCCTCTCTCTCTCTCTCTCTCTCTCTCTCTCTCTCTCTCTCTCTCTCTCTCNTCTCTCTCTCTCTCTCTCTCTCTCTCTCTCTCTCTCTCTCTCTCTCTCTCTCTCTCTCTCTAGCTTCATTGGGTAAGATCAGGTTAGCCTCTCTCTCTCTCTCTCTCCCCCTCTCTCACTCTCTCTCTCTCTCTCCCTCCCCCTACTCACCTCAGGATATTTTTGCTTCCTTAAACCTCACTCTCTGATGCTAAAGCTATGGTGCATGTTATTCTTCTATTCTAGCTATGGCTACTCCCACTCTCCGTCTCTCTCCTAGCTGCCGTCTTCCAGCGCTAGCTCTTGAGCAGCAGCGCTCCAGCCTCAAGACAGGGCAAGAAAGAATGAATCACGAGCTGGGGCAGGTTCCGCTTTTGTAAATGTTGACTCAGCCTGGGCTGCCTCAGGTTGCCTCCCTGGATGGCTGAGATTTCCTGATCTGTGCGGCCAAGAATTTCTTGCGGCCAGTATGTGCCTTCACCCTGCAAGCCTGGAAGCTTCCTTAAACCGTCTCTCGATCTGTGGCCGTGGTTGACTCCTAACAAATCTTTGACTCTTTGACTTCTGTACCCAGGGTCTGTCTGTTGATTTTCCTAGAGCCTACTTTGACTTTTAGAGGCCCTGGACACCTCGATTTGACGCTTGATCGCAGACCGACCAGCCCAAGGACTTTCTGGAGCCTCTATAGTGGCTCTTGATCGGTTTTTGACCCTGGAACTTTGACTTGGCCAGAAGCTGCGACTCTTAAGGCTTACCAGTTTGGCGGGAAATGATGTATCCTAACTCTGTCCTGACACTGTGGCAATTAGGCGGGAAGATGATGGCACTGCAGCTCAGTTTGTCGATCTTCTCTAGGCCTACCAGTTTGGCGGGAAAATGAGACTGCTACAATTTGGCTGGAAAATGCCCGCACTGCAGCTCAGTCTTTTGATGTACTCCAGACCGACCAGTTTGGTGGGAAAATAATGTGTCGTAGCTCTTTCCTGACACTGCCGCAATTTGGCGGGAAAATCATGTATCCTAACTCTGTCCGGATAAGTCTGGTACTAGACTGCTTATGCATCAGGGGCCGACCGGTTCACTCCTTTTTTTTTTTTTTTTTAAACAGAACCTCTTGGTTCTGGCTCGTACCATTCTGGGGAGCGACAGTCCGGTTCCTATTCCCCCGGCAAGTCAATATGGAATACATGGGAAACTCATGCACACTCCTCCCCATTATGGCCGGGAAGCCCGAGTGGACGGCATTGATTACTTCCCTGAGGAAGGGTATTCCACCCCTCACCCCTGCCAAAGTTAGCCTGTGCTATTTAATTTGCCTGGCTGTTGCCAATCTGTCTGACCCTAGTCTCGCTCCTCTCAGCTGTGATGCTGTCGGGTTGGTGTGTTATGCTAGAGCGGTCAGGAACGCCTATGCGCCTCTTGAAATCTCTAACTAAGCCCTGTTTGCCTTGTTTCTGTCTGAACCTTTAAACCTTAAACCCTCAGCTGTAATGCTGTCTTGATTTACCGGTTCCTAGTCCCTAAAAAGTAAAACATGTGCTGTTCTTGAGCCCTAAACCCTAAAGCCTAAACCCTAAACCCTCTTCCTCTCTCTATGTGGGCTGTGTACTCTTCCTTTCTCTCGGAAGACTGTTTTTACTGCTACTTTCTACCTCTTTTCTTTTTAGCGCCTTGACTGTCAGATTTTTTATGCTCACTAGACCTGCTGGTTTGGCCCTTTACCGAGGTCTTTTGCTGGAAATAGTGGGCTCTCCCCTGCTAGAATTCTGCGAATTTGCTAAAGCCCTGAACCCTAGCTGTCTTTTCTTCCGCTTTTTCGGGGTAGGGCGTTGCCCTTGCTGCAACCTCGGCTCATAGCAAACCTAGGTCTGAAATCACTCGCTCTTTCTCACCTTTCTTTGTACGTGCTGTCTTGCTGACGTCCGGGTCTTGGAACCTGGGACTGTGGTGGCCTTAGCTTCAGTTCTTGCTACAAGGAGCTACTTTGGGTGATACCCTCTATTTGCTAGTCCGTGACGTGAGTTTGGTGCGCTTCTTGTAGTCCGTATCCTTCCATAGAGAAGTGGGCCTACCGCTCCTCCTATTCTTCTTTCGTGACCCTGTCCATGGTGTATAATGCCGTGGTCTTCTGATGCCTTTACTCCTGTGGTGACTTCTTGATTCCGCTCTCTTTTCGCTTGTAGATCTGCTGTGTTAGTGCTAGGATGAGATAAGGTCTATGTCCATGGGGGTCTGTGTGCTGTTAACTGGATTACTTGGAGCTTGGTACTCTGTTGTCCCTTTCTCCCAAAGTGTGAACAGTAGACTCTGTCCCTTAATGGTAGCTATCTTTCCTTTTGCTAGGTAATTTTCTTCAAATTTCTGTTTAATTTCCTTTGCCTTTTCTTCCTCCCTTCTCATTTTCCTCTTCACTCTGCGCCAAATGACCCAGTATTCCGTTTCCACTTGCTGTTGGACTAGGCTCCAAGCCTCTTGTCTGTGCACTGCTTGTTTATCTAATGTTTCTTGACATCTCTCTTTCTCCAGATTGTCCATAAAGCGGCCTTTCTGAGTATTTGAAAGGTATTATACTCCAATTGGGACCATTCTTTGGGGATATGGAACCCTAGTAGCAAGAGGATAGGGTTGGCTGCCAGCTGCACACTAGAGAGCGTCTCCCATATCGTGTCTATTTTCTGCCAGAGGGGCCTTATCCTGGGACACTGGATGAAACAATGAAAAAGGTCTTCTATTTGACCCTCTGAGCAAGTAGCGCGTGGTTCCTTGAGAAGATTTCTGTCTTCCTATTTGACCCTCTGACCCATTTGTTTAACCACTGGTTCAATGGGACTGCTAAATAAAGTATCAGCCATTGTAGGCTTCTAAACTTCGGGGGGCGGACTGTCGCGAGTTGGTTCCAGGGATTTCCACATAAAATACATACTCCAAAATCAATGCTATAATTTTGTAGCTTTTTTTTTCTAATATCTTGTTCAAAATTCCAATCAACTACAGGTAGATTAATAGGTGGTTGAGGTTTTCTGGATCCACTTCTAAGCGCCTCCACCAGCGTTCTGCTATTATTGGTTCTGGGGCAGCTGATCTGGATATGTTGCCGTTTCAGTCCTAGTCCTGACACTGTTGCAATTTGGCGGGAAAATCTTGCATCCTAACTCTGTCTGGATATGTCTAAAATGCCGGCACTGCAGCTCAGCCTGTTGATCTACTCAAGACCGACCAGTTTGGCGGGAAAATAATGTATCCTAGCTCTTTCTTKACACAGCCGCAATTTGGTGGGGAAATCATGCATCCTAACTCTGTCTGGATATGTCTAAAATGCCGGCACTGCAGCTCAGCCTGTTGATCTACTCCAGACCGACCAGTTTGGCGGGAAAATAATGTATCCTAGCTCTTTCTTTACACTGCCGCAATTTGGCAGGAAAATCATGCATCCGAACTCTGTCCGGATATGTCTGGTACTGGACTGCTTATGCATCAGGGGCCGACCGGTTCATTCCTACCAATAGTCCGGACACTGCCGCAATTTGGCAGGAAAATCTTGCATCATAACACAGTCTGGATATGTCTATCCTTGTGCGACTGAGGCTAACAAATTTGTCCCTCCTGAACTTACCTTTATGTCTTCTGGACGAATTTCCAGTGTTGACCCTCAAAGCTTCCAACTTTTGCAGGCTCTACCTTCGCAAAGACCCGCACTGTCACACAGGAACACCTGGGTTGGCACTGCGCAGGTTGTAACACACAAACTTGACAGAATTTGCAGGGATATATATAACCACGCACAAGACTCCTTTGGGTGCTTCTACACAGGTGTACGTAGAAGAAGCTGGTACAGACACACCCTCTCCTGGTAAAGCAGAAAAACTGAGTGTTTACGTAGAAGAAGCTGGTACAGACACACCCTCTCCTGGTAAAGCAGAAAAACTGTGTTTTTTTTTTTTTTTTTTTTTTTTTTAATTTAGTTTTAACTTTTAACCACCACTACCTCCCATCCTGTTTTTGCCAAACCTGAATTTCAATGCGCAGCGAGTGTTGCCGGGCCTTGGGCAGTTGAATCCATAAAAGAACAAGGAAACAAAAAAAAAGAAGATGAAGAAAAAAAAAAGAAGCTTCCCTAAGGCGGTGATAACCATCATATCCATTCTATGAGGTGCCAGTGTGACTGCTCTCCGTCTCTCCTCCCTGTGTTTATCCCCTCCCCCTTCACTCTGCCTCTTTCTCACAGTGTACAAGTGGGCTGTTATGGCACATGGGGATGGGGGCAGCTCGCGTTCAACTTCATCAACGTGGCGAGCTTGTACGTGAGAGGCACGGTGAAAGGGGAGTCAAAAGAAGAATGAGTAAAATGAATGGTTTCACTGTGCCCTTCATATTTGTCTTGTTGTTTTTTATTTTTTATTTTTTGCCATTTGTTTCGCAAATTGCGCTCTTTTAGTTCATAGTTATGTGACAATGTATGATATTAGATATGTAAATTGTCCTAGAGAACTGCCCGGTGAACCGTAGGCAGAGAGGAAGAAGAAGACGACATACGAGGGGCTGTGGCAGACTGTTTCATTGCAGTTTCACCGACTCATCAGCAGACTGAACCTTCTACAGTCTGCAGAGTCCCCTAACTGATGATASTGTAAATGATGATTCACCTCGACCCCGGTTGTGGTTAAGCGTCAATGACTGCCCGACAACTGGTACCCTAAGGTGGACACCAACCACTTCTCTCCATGTACCTGTGACGGAAGTCAAAGCAGACTACCACTCACCCACATCAGACAAAAAACTCTACGCACTATGACGATATGTGTTATATCAACTTATATGTATATATTTCGTCATAGAGAACTGCCCGGTGAACCATAGGCACAGAGGGAGAAGAGGACAACAAACAGTGGGCTGTAAAACATACATAACACTCCTGTGTTACTTGTCCTCTTCTCCCTTTCTGCCTACAACTTGCTGGACAGTTCTCAGTAGCTATAGAAAATAGTAAAATACTAATAGTATAGATGTATACCATGACAATTTAGAGTCATGCACATATGTTATAAGTTTATTTGAAACATTGGTTAAACCACTACTACCTCTGAGCCTCTTTTTTTTTGTCGAGGCTGGCGGAAAAGACCTGCATGCCAGCACAACATTTTTTTATTTTTTTTTAAAACTGGTGGCGCCAGCCGTTTTGGTCCGGTACTACTGTTCACCCGAAGGATGTGGTTTATACTACTTTATAGTAAATCTGTGTTTCGAGTTTGCCTGTGAAAGGTAGTGGTGGTTTAAGAAGGTGAAAAAAAAAAGATCCCCATTGTAAACATTTTCTTCAAAGTTTGATTGATGCCGTCTATTCTGGATTGCGGCTTCAATGAGTAAGTTAATCAATATTTCCTATCCTGCCCTGCTTCCCCTGCTATATCACTCCCTCATATTCTGTCAGACAAGGTCATCGCCTATGTGTCCGAAACCGGATTCAACGGGGGTTTCGAGTTGAACGGTTCAACTCCCTTTGAACCCCCGTTTCAACTCCGCGTTATACCCCGTTACAACGTGGTTGCACTCTTGTATTGTACTTGATTTTTTGCAAGATTTGAAAAAATATTTTTATTTTTGGGGATTTGCTTCCATCTTCCATTGCAGTGGACTGTGCAGTTTACTGGAGAAGAAGAGGTCAGGGCAGTGGCTATAGGACAATCGTGGGCTGCTGCAGCGACAAGCATGAACTATTTGCGAATCTTTTCTGAGGCGGGTCTACAGGTATACAACTGTCCTTTTTTTCCGGTATATCCTTTCCGGGTGCCTGGGTGGGCTGCCTGGAATGCGTTGCCAGGCAAGGTCGCGGCCGGGACCCAAGCAGGCCCGGCGCAAAATACAAAAGAAAATAAAAGAAATTCTGGAATTGAAATGTTGTGTAGTATTGCAATGGAAGCAACTGTTGGCTGAGGGCCACCTCAGAATTTATAGAGTTAAAGAACAAAATTAAAGCAACCAAAGTAAGGCACCCCCTTAGAGCCCCTTTACCCCCCCCCCCCCCCCCCCCCCCCCCCCCCCCTCCCCCTCCTCCCACACCCGCTGCGAACAACAGCACTGTAAAACAAAAAAAAACACCCTGGATTTGGGCTACTTTCAGTGGGCTCAGAAATAAGTCACCAACAACAACAAAAACGAAATCCCAGGTTCTAACATGCCCGGGGGTCGACCAGGGCAGGAGACCCCCTGGTCAGGCCGCCTGGCTGCCCAGCCAGGCGTCCCATGCACCGTAGCTCTTTCAATATTTGTCGGGGGTGTATGGCGGGGGTGCTCAATGCCACCCGTCGTGGCAATTGTTGCACTGAGAATGCTCAGCTAGGTCTTCCATGTGTTCATCCACGTCATCCTTACAATGTATGTCATCTCTGTCGTCAAGGACAGACTCATTCTTGAGCCTTTTCTTATCCTCT